TCAATAAATAAGAATAATATAGTTATATTAACAGAAGCTGGCATTTTTATTTTTCAATTAATCAACGATGAGAATTTAGTTTCTTTGAGTTACTATCACATGTTAACTAATATTTATGAAAATATAGGAGATTATGATGGTGATAAATTAATTCGTGGATGGGTATCATATGTTCAAGAGAATAAGCAAAAATTTTTAGAACACCTCCCTCATTTATTAAAATTCACGGCTGATGCAGAATTAACAGATGAAATTTATAATTATGTTAAATTGAATAGAGAAGATATTTTAAAATATGGTTCTACAATATTAAAAAAAGCGATTAAGCTACAAGCTTCAAACTTAATAGAGAAAATTTATAATGAATGTTTAGATCTCTTTAAAAAAGATTTAGAAAACAATAATGCATTCTTAAGCATTATAAATAAATCAATGCCATCATTGGATAAACATTATCCCGAATATATTGCAAGATATTCATCAGATACAAATATGATCATAGATTCTCCAAAATATAAAATCGAACTACTAAATACAACACATCTTTATCCTTTTTCCAATATTGGTATTGTTAATTTAACGCCATCTATTGTTTGGACAAAATATACTGCTCAAGTGGATCACATTTATTACTATACTGAAAATATAATGATTAAACTACTAATGAGGATTTATTTCGCAAATCAATATATAATATTTTTTTTGACATTACCTATTTCATTAACTTTATTTCATATTTTAAATAAATTTCATATAATTAACGAAATTTACATTGATGGGTTTTCTGAATTATATTATAAATGTAGTTATTATATAAGTGATTCGATCTTTCCGGAAAAACTGATACCTACACTTACTTTTATTATTCCTTATATCAAATTTGTTTGTTATTCGGATTATGAGGAAGAATATAGCTGGTGGGAATTAATTAAGCCGAAACCTAGTCCATTTGTAAAAACAATAAATAGAGAAATATACAAAACATGGAATGGTGAAGCATTAATTAATTTCAAGTGGAATTTATATGGAAGTTATTATTATTATGGAATTTGGTTGCTATTTACCGCCTTATTAGCATGCTTTACGGCTGCTTCAACATATTCTGAAGATATTGTATCTGAAGGCATCAGAAATCCACTTTTAAAAGCCACAATAGTACTTGGAATTATTCACTTAAATTTCGAACTTCGCCAGATATATTATGATCCCATTAAATGGTTTATTGATCCTTGGAACTATTTTGGTAAGAATTTTTATTTATTTCATGCAAACTTTACAAACGCTCATCGGGTATCTAATATATTTTTTTAAGATTTTGGAGCGTATTTAGTTCCTACCATTGCATCTTTTTATTGGTTACTTACAAAAGATAAACCCCATTTTTGGCTTTCAATTTCATGTCTTTTATTAGATTTTAAATTTTTATTGTTTTTCAGAGCATTCGAATTATTTGGTGTTTATTTTGTAATTGTCGTTAGTGTTGCGAAGAAGATTGCTTCCTTTTTGGTTATTTTATTTATTGTACTTTTGAGTTTTGCTCACGCCTTTTGGATTCTGTTAAAACCGAGAAAAGATTATGATTTAAATACACCACCACCTGAAGGCAATGATGATCCCAATAATCCTTGGGAATTAACTGATAAATATACTCAAATATTAGACGATGGAACCAATGAAACATATGTTCAACAACCTGATAAGAATACGAACATGTTTACTACTTATAGAACTTCACTTTTATCAATGTATTTATATCTCACGGGTAAATTTATTTCCTTTTAAACCTTAAAAAAAAATTTATGATTTAGTTAATTATTGTTAATCAATTTTGTTAAATAGGCGATCCAAATGCTTTACCCAACTGGGAATATCTTGATAATCCAAAACTTACCATACTAATGGTTTTATTCTCTTTATTAATTGCTGTGTACCTAATGAATTTGTTGATTGGATTACTCAGTAACGCTATTGATGAAGATAATAATAGAGCTTCGTATTTTATGCAAAAGGCGAGGGTATTTATTTATTTACAAAGTACTACTATATAATTAGTTTTTTAATTTTATATTTCTAATAATAAATTTTTATCTATACAGATTTTGGAAGAAATCGAATTATTTTACTTATTTCCAAATCAGAGACGTTGGAAAACCTGGTTTCCTGACGTGATGTAAGTGTTTGTCGTAGCTTTCTCAAGTTTTTTTTTAAAATTTAGCTTAATATTATTTTTTTAACTAGATATTATCACGCCAATGTTGAAGAGACACGTAAAGAAATTCAGAAACTAATTCAAAATGAATCTCATACTGAGAAATTTTCAGATATGAAGGAAGAATTACGAAAGATTTAATAATAATCCTGGGCAAGATATGCAAAAATAAATGAAATTAATGAAAATTGGGTTATTTTAAAGTTCAATTAGAGATTTTTTAATTTTTTTCATAAAAGAGTATTAGTATTTAAAATTTTTACAAAATTCGAAATTTTATTTATTCAATAAATTATTATTAAATTTTCTTTTATAGACTCGAATTTTTTTTTTATAGTATGTTATTTACTTAAATGTACATGAAGCACTAAACTTTTCATTTGTAATGTAACAAGGGTATTTCAAACTCTTTTTTTTTTATGGACCTGATCATAAAATTAGCCAATTAAAATTTCGCAAAATAACTTAGCGATCGTTGCTACATTTATATCGTATCCGATGAAATAATTGACATTTCAAGTCAAATGAAAATATCGGTGAAATAAGAGTATGGTACGGTACGATTCGCCAGACCAGTACGGTACGATTATGCAGATCAGTATTTTTTCGCGGGAAATTTGAATCGTAC